AAAGCGATCCACGCAACCTAAAACGTTTGTATCCCCTTGATATTTTGAAATAATAATAAAAGAACAAAGAGCAAAAGGACAAGAACATCAGCCCTTGCTATAGAATGGAGACAATTTAGCACTTGGGAGATCTCTCGTGACTGATTCCTGTATATCCGTGGCCCACCCTTTTTCAAAGGTCTCTTGCAACTTCTGACGCTAATTGATGGGAACACTATTACTCAGCTTCCCTTTCAAATAAGCTCAGGTCCAGGAATTAAAAAGTATCTTGTTTTGTAGGAAAGAACAGAGCTATAACCAGAGACCAGGAAACACAGAGAAGAAATATTTCTTATTTATTTTATTAACAGCAAATATTTATTTACTGTCATTTTTAAATAGAAAATGTATTACTAGGCACCAGGAATTTAACACTTTTCCTCCAGTCCTTCATGTTATATCTCATCTATTTTGTATCTGCAATGCCCACCGGGGTGGGGCTGGGAGGTGCAACTTAACATCCAGACTCATAATACTTTCCTAGACCACTTGGCACCACTCTTCTCAGAAAGACATAAGACAGGAACCATGTCCTGTCCGCTGGAAAGTGTCAGGCACTGCTCTTCTGCTGAAACCCCTGCAGCAGTTCAGGGGCTGGCTCCTGAATCGCCCAACCAGAGATGACAGCTGCAAAGAGACGATGTCCACATCAGGCAAGTGTGAGAGTCACCATGGCCTAAAAGCCTCATGTACCATAGAAGCCGATATATCTTGTAACAATTCCACAGGCATAGTTTTTGGGGACTCCACAAAGGACAGCCCCAGCTACAAGACTTGCTGCACTGCACCCAGGCAGAAGTGAAGATACTACTTTCTATAACATACTGATAGTCTACCCGGTCCTATGCAGGGTACCAACCAGGGATCATTTTCTCCACAAGCAGTGTGCCCTGGTAACATACCAGTTTCATCAGGTTGCCACTGGAACAAAACTGGAGCATTAACTGAAGGTCAAATTCTCATGCAGAAGGAGGAAAGAATTTCCTAACCCTTATCCCACAGTAATCTTCAATGATGACGAGTATTTAACTACTGTGGTTTTGTCAGATGTGTCTGGGGCCCCAATTCCTTTCTAAAGCTCAACTTCTACCTTTTTAAATAATAAATCATCATCCCAAAATGGTAAGAATATGGGAACTATTTTTTTTTAAGATGTTTCAACAGACCAAGGTTTGTTTTATTGATTTTAATGATAAGGAGACTGAAATAGATGGAGTGAAACAATTTGCCCCTAGTGCCCTTTAAAAGTCGGTGGCATGTATAAAGTCTTTGGGCTCTAGGTGCCTAATAATGAAGTTCTCCCTCTCCTTTGTCTGTCTTACTGATCATGGCTTATTCAAACTGAAAAATCCAGTTTTCAAATTGAAAATTTCCAGAGGAAATCTTATTTTCATCTCCTGTTTTGCAAACGGAGAATAGTCTGCTGTCATTTCTGAGAGTTACGTAGGCTCTCAAGACCCAGATTTAAACATTAGCTATTGTGCAAATATCGTTATGTAGATGACATAAATTAAGATTGAATTCTCAGCTAAAAATAACTTATTTTCTATTATTTTTAGAATCTTTAGCTCAGAAAGAGCTTTACTATTTACTCCTAAAAAATTCAATTTGTGAAAATTTACAAAGACAGAGGCTCAGCCTGAAGTTGTACGCTCTTCTTTGAATTTCTGATTTATGTTTTAGTGTGGAGTATTCTCTATGGACCTGAGATGTTATGAAAGACTAAACTATGCTAAAGCTTATTTCAAAAAACTCCCTTCTCATGTAATATGAAGAGACTTGTAAGTTAATTTTGATTTTTTTACATCTTTTTTTCCCTTAACATTTATCAGGCATCATGTGCTACTTGCCAGGTACAGTAGTGGGTTCTTACTGCTCTCATTTAATCTTTGTGACCCTACAAAGCAAACACTGTTATCATGTACAGAGAAGAAAGGTATACAAATGTAAAGAGTTCAGTGACTTCCTGAAGATTATTCGTTCCAAACTTGAATCACCATCTAAATTCTCTCATATTCAGAAATAAAGAGTATCATGGATGCAACTTACTTAAGGGTAAAGAAGCCATGTTACTCCATGAAGTTAGACTTCCAGAATACCTGGGCACATCTCCACAACCCCTCCCACCACCTTTCCACATCTGTCTTATGAATCCCTGACATTCCTAAGTGAGAAATACGTATTTTGCTTA